TTTTTTTAAATTTTCGACTCCTCAATCATTTTGGGCTAATCGATTGTTCTCTTATGTCAATGGCGCGCGGTCTTTCTCTCAGGTATCATGATATCTAAGCCATATGTCATCTCCCCTTTCCCCTGAAACCCATCAAAAAATTTTCCCCACCCATTTTGACTTCTCCCCCTCTCTACTCCATTCTCGATTTCTCCTCTCCCTTTTTCATCTAAATCTCTGATAACAAAGCTTCAAAGTCCTCATCATCAATCTTCTTCCTCCTCCTCCCCTTCTCCTCTTCCCATGGAGGTGAGCCTGATGCGGCTCCTCCTCCTCTCTCTTCTCCTCCTGCTTCTAACAAAATCAACAAGCTCCCAAAACTCCAACGACTTGAATATCACTCTCACCTCCTTCCTCAAAAAACTCTCAACCAATCCCCGAATTGATCAGGAACTTGGCTGGACTCCTGCCTCCGATCCCTGCCGTGACCGTTGGAAAGGCATCGCCTGCAACAAAGATGGAAAATCTGTCCGTGCTTTAGTTCTTGAATCGCTCAAACTCGATGGTTCCATTGATGGTACTCTTCTCTCCCATCTCTGCAACTCTGGCCCTCTCTCAATACTGAGTCTCCAGGACAATGCCCTCAATCGTGGCCTACCTTCAGAAATCTCTAGCTGCACCAGATTGACCCATGTTTATCTCAGCAATAATCGCCTCTCAGGTAGCCTTCCATCTTCTCTACCGAGCTTAAAGAGCCTGAAGAGGCTTGAGATCTCCCACAACAACTTCTCTGGCAATATTCCGTCGAATATGTCGAGGATTTCAGGCATCTTAACGTTTCTTTCCAATAATAATCACTTTACTGGTAGCATACCCGATTTCAGCATGAACTTCATGGATGAATTCGATGTTTCTTTCAATCAATTCTCTGGTTCTGTGCCTGCGAATTCGGAAAAATTCCCTGTTTCGAGATTTGTTGGAAATCCTGGCCTATGTGGCAAACCACTTAGCGTGGCATGCCCTCCTCCTCCTTCTCC